GCTGACGCGTTCATGGCACATGGCCCTCCTCCTCGTGCCGCAGCCGCGGGCAAGCCCTCGGTCCAAGGAGGGGGACGCAAAGCATGGGCATCGCCATGGTTGTGCAGGTGGTGCACTCACCCTCGCACGGGCGCCAAGTGGTGGAACCGAGGTGACTGCCAGGCCTGCGCCAGCTGCAGCGCCGCCAAGGGCGCCAGCTTCGGTGGGCCATAAGCCGCTTGATGGGCCGCCGAGCCAGCGCTCGCAAGAGGCCTCATCAGCGCGCCGCCGTGCTGGAGCAGCCGCCGTGGACGCCCTCGCTGAGAAGGACCGCGAGATCGCCAAGCTGCGAGAGCAGATCAAGGCGGCCAGTGGTCCAGCCCCGCCCAGAGAGGAACCGCCGCCAACTGATGCCGACCAGGAGCAGCTGTCCGAGATCGCGGCTTTGCTGCGCACTCTCGGCACCTCCACCGACCCTGCCATCGCTGCAGCGAGAGGCGCTCTCTGCAAGGAGCGGGACGCCATCAAGGGTAAGATCGTGGAGGCCAAGCCGTACGCTGGACAGCTCCATCACTACGCGACGCGTATTAACACCTCCTCACAGGCCAAAGCTCAACGTCAGAAGGTGGTGGGCGGCTACAAGGAGCAGCGCGCGCAATTGGATGCCAAGATTGCGGAAGCTGAGGCCCAGATCAGTGAGTTGTCGGCCGACATCCAAGAGCTGGAGGCGCTGCGCCGGAAGGTCTCAGCCAAGGCGCCCACCGCAGCACCAGGAGACTGCTCGCTACGCGCGCTCGTCCCAGCGATGGACCTTTCCGTCGAGAAGCTGGGCCAGTTGCTGTAGGGCTTGGGGGCCGACGATGAGCTGTCAAAGTCCGTGTCGGCCTGTTTCGACCAGCTGCGCGCCTTGGCCGACAAGGCCGACGCTGCTGAGAAGGAGAAGGCTGCGGTTAAGGAAGCCGAACCTGATCGAGGCGCGGCACCCGCCATCAGCGGCACACTACCAGGGGTGCCGACATCTGGCCAGCAGCAAGCAGCTCAGGATCGAGCCGTCCCCGTGGACACTGACGACATCACCGAGCTGCGCGACTTCTGGCGAAAGTTGACGGGCCAGGACCCGCCGCAGGAGGAAGAGCAAGTCAGGGAGGCCATCAAGCGCATGGCCAATGCAGCGGAGGCCATGCATGCTAAGAAGCAGCGCACAGAGCCTGCCGCCTGAAGGAAGTTCCTGTCAGAACATATGGGGTGGTGGATTTCGTCGCCGTTTTGCTGAGCTTCTTTCTGGTAAAGTTCACGGAACGCCACTCCCGACAGACGCGCAGCGGTGCGTCGTTTACCTCATGGAAGCCTGCAATGGACATGACTAGGCTTGTTCACGGATTTCCTCTCGCTGGAAGCCGTCACACCTGCCTCTACAACGTCGACCGCATGTACGATTACAACCTCACAACGGACATCTCGTGGAGGTGTGGATCACGGATAACATCTACAACATCAATCGGTGCCACTTCACGGTTCCGAATGCTAGCTATCCGGTCTTCGCGGAGGTGTAGCGTCTACCTCTACGCTATCGCCTCCGTCATAGGGTTGCTGTCGACGGGCTCTCTTCGTAGCCGCGCGGACGCGGGCTTAAAGTCGTCCGACCTTCCCCAAGGTCCGCGCCTCGAGAGTTTACGGGCCCCAGCACCGCTGACACTGGCCTGCTCGCATGCCGACGCCGACCTGCAACTCCTGCGACCGCGAGTACGCTGCAGGAACGTGTGCCCGATCCTGTAACAGAGGATCGGAGAGGTCAGCCATGCGTCAGTTGTCCTCGATATCGGATCCCATACATGGTCACCGTGCTTCTCCTGTCACTGCAGACAACTGGCGCTACAATCACCGTCAACAACGTGCTGACCTCTAACACTACCTCTTACGGTGCCATGAAGGACGTTCTCCCGCTGCCGCAAAGCCGTGGTGCCATTGCGTGTTTACACGAACATCACGGTGACGAACAACGGCTACCTGAACTACAGCACACAGCACGGCAGTTTGGGCTACATGGTGTCTGGACGGCGGCCATCTCAACTGGGCGAGGTGGCACTACGGGTGGTTGTGCAATTCTGGTTCCTAAGCATATAAGGGTTGGACTGGGCCCACATCTCGCCTCTCCCACGTTGGTGCCTGGGCGTGTTACAGTTGGACGCGCTTCTTGGGGACCTCGAGGAGGGGTGGCTACCCTTACAATCTATTTGGTAGATTCAGTTGGACTCAATGAGGAGAACATGGACATACTCACGAAACTGGCAACCTACGTGGAGCAGCTCAACTATACAGATCACAAGTGGGTCATTACAGGGGACTGGAATATGGACCCTGTGATTATTTTGGAATGGATACATTCAATCAATGGGCTGCAGAGGATGCCACTTCAACCTACCTGCAATGCGGTGCAACCTGGGACTGTGCGGGAAAACTATTGCGTTTCAGCTTCCTTGGTGCAATGGCTAGGCGAGTGTTCGGTTTGCGCAGCTGCTAC